ACCTTCTAGTAATTTATAAACCAAAGGATGAGCGCTTTTGCATTTGTATAGAATTAGGCCATTGCTCTCGGTCAGTTCTGGTTCAGAATCAAAAGTGTCTGAAGGTTTAGTTCTCCTAAAACAAAATTTCTGTTCTTTGTAAACCCAGAAAGCTGGCAAGTTAGGGGTCTCTGGACTGAGGGGAGGGACAGAAGGAGAAGGGTTGAAAAAGCACTAATATTTTAGTTCACAAAAATGTACATACCTTAGTAAGAAATGAAAGAGCAATTGTTAAAGTATAAGGGCTAAGTGGTAAGTTTTACATATTGCAAAAATGTGAAAGTGACTGATTAGAATGAAAATGTGATGTTAATGCATTTTCCCCCCAGCCCATGCCCATATTTTTTTGGAGGGGGAGGGCAAATGGAGTGAAGCAAGCTACAGCTATCAGTGCAAAGTCTCTAATTTAAGAATTCCGATATCTATGAACATGATTCAGGTGTTTGATGCCAAAAGTCTTAGGTGATATTATGATCAAAAAAGCAGATGAAAGAGGGGAAAGTGCAACAAGACCAGCCAGGACTCAAGGCTTCATGAGAATGCGATAGGAAAGGGTTACAAAATGATGTCATTTGTAAGACAGTTTATACAACAGCAGCGATTAGGTGGCTAGCTTCAAACTTGACAACAATTAAAAAAAAAACCACTTTTTTTTTTTCATGCCAGAATGAAGAACAAGCAGATGACGGTGACAGGACATGCAAAGCTAGGCTAAAGGATGAAAGGGGCAGAGTATTAGAAATGCAGAATTCCCCCCACTCACTTGTGATATCATAAACAACAACTGCAACAGTGGAGTCACGAATGTAGCTAGGAATCAAGCTCCTGAACCGTTCTTGACCTGCTGTGTCCCATAATTGCAACCGTACCTAACAAAATCAGTCAAACAAGCAAGAAAAATAAGAAAAAAGGTCAAACCCAGTGCAATATACCTACTTGTGATATCGTAAACTACTACAGCAGCAGCAGAGTCACGGATGTAACTGGGAATGAGGCTACGGAAACGTTCCTGACCCGCAGTATCCCACAGCTGCAACCTGATCTGTGGGTGGGAGAAAATTAAAAAAGCCAAACTGCCACTAAAAATAAAAGAGTAAATAAATTTTACTTTTTTTAAAAAAAAAAAAAAAAAGCTAAATAAAAATTATTAACTCATGCAGGAGATGACTGGGAGCAGCAGCAGACTGTCTCCTCCTTTACAGCAATCTCTCCCAAGCTCTAGCAGTAGCCAAACTGGTATACGTGCACCTATCTTGGCTTTCCACTGTCTCTGCTTTCTAAAAAATGCTTCTCTTTTAAAAGGGGAAAAGTAGAATTGCTCAGCTTCCAAACTGAGAGGACCAACAAGAAACTTCTCAAGGAAGGGCCTTCAGCTGCTGTTAAAAGACTGGAAAACCTACTAATATGAATTTTTCAAGGAGGATAAAATACTAATTATTACTCTATATTTAAGACTTAGCCACACTGCAAAGTAACGTGCAGCCAGGTGAGGCTGAATGTCTCTCACCATCAAGGTTCTAAAAGAAAAGGCGAGATAAAACTAAACACAACGTGGACAGGAAGATTCGCAAGGGCCAGTTTTGCGAAGGAAAAGAACATCCCATCGCTCAAGTGCTTTCAATGCAATCACATTTATTGTGGGTTTACACAATACCATAAGCTTATGCAGCACTGCACAATTTGCTTCTGCAAATAGCTCAATGGCTGCATTTCTTAATTAAGAATCTGAGCTCATTTTAAACCACCGGCTTGCTTCCACAGAGGAGTGATTTCATTTCAAGAACTAGAGCTGCACCAAGCTCAGAAACGAGTATCCTTTGCAGATCGCTACTGAAGGTAACCTTCTTTTAAAACAAGATTAAGAACTATCGAGTTAGCTATTAACTGTCAACATTTGGCAATTTATATTTTATCCTTCTGTCTTGTGACATCAAAAAAAAGTGAAGGGGTTAAGCGTGCTCCCTTTCTCCGAATTCCCACCATTCTGCACGCCTCAAACTATGCGTATCATCTCTTTCTTCAAAGAGGATGACACTACAGCACCTTCTGCCACTTGTAAAATGGCACTCGTGAGCCCTCCGCCGATGAACCAAATGGTGATCTCCTGCTTCCCCAAACAGAGAAGGGAGCTGGCTCCACAGCACTTGTCAGTCTGGAAGCAGCTGGTAGATGAAGGCTCAGTCTGTACTTCCAAGTGATCTCAGAACTGTGGGTTGCATAATTACAACAGATGCTGAGCCGTCCTTCCTACTGTATGCAGAGAAGTGCAACAAAAATCTTACTCACTGTTCGATCCTCCAAATACATGGTTTTTGATAAGAAGTCGATGCCAATTGTTGCCTGTAAAAAACAAACAAACAAAACAACACTTCTTAAATAAAACATCAGAACAACTGCAGTGATTTTCAGGGGAGCAAGAATTACAGCCACATCAGAATGCAGCACCTGTAGTGGATCTGAAAGAAAAATTATAGAATCACAGAAGGGTTCAGGTTGGAAGGGACATTAAAGCCCATCTAGTGCCCCCCCCCTGCCATGGGCAGGGACACCTCCCACTAGCCCAGGTTGCCCAAAGCCTCATCCAGCCTGGCCTTGAACCTCTCCAGGGATGGGGCATCCACAGCTGCTCTGGGCAACCTGGGCCAGGGTCTCCCCATCCTTCCTGGAGACCCCCCAGAAGTCCTGCCCGAAGGCCTCCCCGGAGCCTTCTCTTCTCCAGGCTGCACCCCCCCAACTCTCTCAGCCTGTCCTCACACGGGAGCTGCTCCAGCCCTCGCACCATCTCCGGGGCTCCTCTGGCCCCGCTCCAGCAGCTCCGTGTCTGTCCTGTGCTGAGGACCCCAGAGCTGGGTGCAGCACCCCAGGGGGGGTCTCACCAGAGTGGAGCAGAGGGGGACAATCCCCTCCCTCGCCCTGCTGCTCACGCTGCTGGGGATGCAGCCCAGGATTGGTATTCTTACTTTCAGGATGTAACTCTACCAATAAGATCCAACAGGCAGCTTCCTTAATATCCATAATGAGAACAGTAACTTAAAGCAAAAAAAGTTCTTAACCTTAACTTCAGTTTATGCATATTTCCAGTTCCATCCACAGTCATACAAGTATCAGCAAGGATTTTTTGCATATGACCTAAGTTAGGGACCATCAGCTCAACCAGGATCTCTGAACACACTGTATTCTTCCTGACTGCCAAATATCTTCACTTATCTTCACTTTCAGCCTTTTTCATTAAGGCTCAAGTGGACATCTTCACATGTGCTGCAACACAACAGCACGCACACACGTGGCCTCCAACGATTATTAAAGCTCAGTTAATACTAAAGCTCACTCCAGCATAACTGTTTCTAGACACTACTGGGAGCTTCACATAGAACATCCTCGGATGTGTTTAAGAGAAAGAGCAAAGCACAACTAAGCACTATCAGGAGCTGCTTCTTAAATCCCAGTTCTTCACCCTGTTTTCTCAAGGCTGCGGTGAGGGTGAATCCAAGTTGCAGCAGTTG